ACGTCAAACCGTGACGTCACCTGATATGCCAGCTTGGCAGCTGAGCAGAGCAGTAGTCAAAACATGGAGAATATTAAAGTGTGTGGCTGTTGATTAGTGGTGTGCATCTAAAAACATACAGGACATTCAGGGACATGACCGAACAGTAAGCCTCGGAAGATATTATGATCAAGATTATGGCTGAGCATATCAATAATAATAGCAATATTCATCCTGCCTGCAGACTCTTCAATCTAGTTGACCTTGGGGCCCACATGCAGCCTGCAGCAAGCTCATGACAATGAACTAAGCATTTAACAGCCTGAGCTAGACATCCTGTCTACACTAACATTTTCTAATACAACAGATCTCTAATCAATATCTATCTAACTAAGAAATTACCTAACAGTCTCATCCGAGACGGTGATGAGTCAGCCTATAGATGGGAGGTTGAGCAGCTGCTTCTGTGGTGTAGTCGCAACAACCTAGTGCTGAACACGCTCAAAACAGTAGAGATGACATTGGACTTCAGGAAGAGGCAATTAATCATTTCAGCTCGAAAAAGAATGAATTCTAATGTGCACACAACAGATTTTTTAATTTAAACACTGATAATGCAGAAATGGCCATTTAAAATAAATATGGCAGTCTATTAGTAAGGAAAAAAAATGATAAATTTAAAACATCTGGTGGAACTGTTTCCACTTACCAACCTCACAGCATCTGTTTGCAAGTGAATGCCACAGTATGCAACATTTTTCACATAACGTCGACAGTCTTTTTTCATCTCATCATATTTTACCTGGTAGTTGAAGTCACTGCTTTCTCTCAGACTCTCACTGGCAAGAAGACAGTTCCAAACTCTACCTCTCAAGTTTGGAGGAATACCCATCCTGATAAATCGCTCAATCTGAAAACATACAGACTGCATGTTTAAACAGGTATTGCATGGTAAAAGCATTTGTTAGGTATTTTTTTAGTCAGATAGATATTGGTTAGATATTTGTTGTATTAGAAATGTTTAGTGGAGACAGGATGTCTAGTTTAAACGCTTAGTCATTGTCATGACATTTTAGCAGGGTGTACGTGGGCAAGGATAACTAGATAGAAAAGTTTGATTGTCAGCAGGCAGGATGATTATTGTTATTATTATGATATGTTTAGCCGTAATCTTAATCATAATATCTTCCTAGGCTTAATGTCCGGACATGTCCCTGAATGTCCTGTATGTTCTTAGATACACACCACTTAATCAACACCGTCGCTGTGTAGAATGGGATTAGCCCAAACCAGATATAATGTACAGGCCTGTTGGGTTCGGGGTCTTTCATTCTTCATCTGCCTGCACGCAGTATTGGAGGTGGAAGATACCTGGATGTGTAATGTTAATTTTGCCTGTGATCCTTTGAATAAACCAGCACAGTTTTTTGTATCCAAGTGGACCGTCTCCCGGAGTTCCTGGTTAAGAGAACGGGAAAAATATCTTTCACATTATAGCAGATTATTAGCATTTCGTTTTTATAAGTAGTTTGTAAAAATCTCACCTGGCTCTTGCAGATAAAGCTGGCTTCATTCCAATAGCTGAGCAGCTCACACAGCTGCTTTACCCTCACTAAGCTCAGCTGGGGGTACCTGACAGGGACATCACAACATGAGCTCAGGCTGATTCGGGCAGATATGGGCTTTTTCTTACATTTGAATATCTTGAGATTTTGGACTGCTTCTTGAACAAAACAAGACATCTGAAGATTTGGCCTTGTATTCTAAGATATTAATAAAGAAAATAATAGTTGGTTGTTGTCCATGTTCACACTATTGAAAACCTACAATTACCTGCCTGAACTTTAATGAACTTAAAGTAATTTTTGTTGCTTTGCCAGAGGAGAAATTTAAATTAAGTATAGTAAGCTAGCCTTAAATGCTTGTCCACTCTGCCCACAAAACAGTTTATGTAATTAACCTTTGTTTTATTTACTGCCTAGCAAACTGTTGAACTGAATCCATCAATCACTGAATAATGAAAATGGACAATTTGGCTATGTATTTTCACTTAGCTTAAACAGCTAGTTAAAGGTACATCAACCAAGAGGTTGCTAAAAAGTTAGGAAAAAGTCATAATGTTACTTCAAAGACAGTCTGATAAGCTACATTTTGTTTTCCTAACTGCTACAGTATGACAACAAAATCACGGGCTACGCTAAAGCCGCCATAATTATCATTAAAGGTGAATGAAAATAATAAAGTTGAACATAATGTGGGTATAACGTTACTAGAATAGGGCAAATGCTAATTTAACTCGCCTCAAGAACCTTAAATGTCCACTAGGTAGTTCGACGTCAGCTAACGCTATTTCTCAGGAAGTATGGTTATCGTGTCAAGCACCTGTAGTCATGACATCGATGGCCTTTCTTTTAGTAAGAGCGAAGCCGAATTCATCAAAACCCAAATTCTCAAGAGGTCTTCTAATTGCTGAGCCTCTCCTGCTGGTGTTGCTACTGCTTCTCCTCCCCATAATTATAAAAGACATTTGTTTGAAAACAGTTTCAACCCTTTCAAAAACCACTCCAGTCAACAAGACCCAGTCTGCAGCCAGTCACTGCTGGCAAACCCTCCTTTTTCTCTGCGTCACCTTCACCTGAAAATGGGCGGGATGAATCACAGATGCTAAAAAAGCAAGTACCATTCATCATTACACAAGGACAGAACAAAAAAAGGAATGTTCTACATCGCGGGAACGGTTTCAAAATTATAACAAGAATGTCAGGTAGTTCTGTATGTTATATGGCAGGTACATTCTTTATCATAAACTTGTTTTAAAAAGCACACATTCTCTACATCCCTGTGTCTCCATGCCACTAGACTTTGAAATGATACACCATGCTTGCTTAGTCTGGGAATTGGTTAGACTATGAAATTTATTATAGACATACAGTAGGCTACCTCATCATTACTTCAGAAGTTAAACCCCAATTGTTGCTTTGTCACTAATGATTTTGCACTAATCAGTGTTCTCTGCATAAAGCATGAAAGAATGAGTTTGTAATAATAACTCAGTTTAATGATCTACTGTTGTAGCTTTTCAGCTACCTCACATTTCTTCTACAATTCAATTTCAATCTTACAACAACAGGACAGCTACTAGAGGTACACACTACTACTACTACTACTACTACTAGAGGTAATGTGGGCAGAACTAGATTCACGTAGTTTAATGCATGTATATGCCTATTAAATATGCAAAATGTTAAATACTCTGTGTGCATATATGGGTGCAGCCAAATGACTGAATGGGGTATAGCACACTACCAAAACATATCATATAGGCTATGTTATTTCATTACAACATTTAAATTATGACAATATAATATCTGATGAAAGTTCTCTTTATTATGATCATACAAAATATAAAGCCTATATATAAAATTCCTTTGGTTGGACATGACATTTGTCTATAATGATTAACAGTGATAAAAAATGTAGCATCCATTGCCAGCAAAGGATCACTATATAACAAACAACAGTAAATTATAAGCTACTCATTAATTGTTTCCATAAACTGATGCTTTTATAAGTGGTGATTATTACATACTTTATGAAGTGATAACACATTTGGATGGATGAACCCAGTGGAACATCTTCATTCTGAAATAACTTGGTCATTCCTGCGTGTCTCTACTTTGTATATGGTCTGATAGCCGTCATCCCAGGCATACAGCTGTTTGTCTCCAGGGTGGTAGTGGATGCTGCTGTGGCTGGTGTAACGCTTTGGGAAGAACATCACAGGACTTTCGTTGCTGCATATATGTGGTACAGAAAAAAAAAGCTTTGTCTTTTAGAAAATGGCTTCTTTTGAGAAAGAAATTATTTCTTTTAGAAGTCAGAAATTTAAGAAACCATGGCTGATTATGATTATTGTATTTCACTGTGGTAAATGTATCTGACATATTCTGCATCTGTTTTTCTGAGTATGAGGATGTTTGCTCATAAGATGCTAGGCTATATCTAGGGTACAGAATTAGCATTTGTTTTATATAAAGCAACCTGTGGATGGTGTCGTGGATGTCATAGAGACACTGTATGGTAGAGCGTCCTCCGTAGTGTGTGTTGTAGACCACATAGAGAGTCCCACACATTAGGAATGCTCCTTCAGCATCACGGCTTCTACATTGTGTATCCCAGGTATATTCTACTGCCAGGGTTCCTGAGATATAAACAAAAAAAGTGATAATTTTTGATAGGTTACTTATAGTGCATATGTATCTATAATAATAGCGTGGTACTCTCTACCCTTATCCAGTTTGGTGATGACCAGGTTTCCCCCAAACTCTGGGTCAGCATGAATGGCCCAGAGGCCGAGCTCATCCACAGCCAGGTCTAGGTAAGTGTTGGGGTTTAGACTGTAGACTGGGAGACGACCTGCTCCGGGAAGTAGTGTGCTGTCCACCGCTGTACCATTCAACAGGTCTACCTTGATTTGATGAAAACCAGTGGAAAAAGACAAACAGAGAAATGCTCATCTGCATAGTTTTATCTCCTTTCAGCTGTGTCAGACATCTTATAGGCACAGTACTGGAAATATGCAAAGGAGACAATGACACTTCATTCTGAATCAGCCCTGTGGTGACCTTATAGGAAAAGCACTGTAGAACTATATATAAATGCTTGTATAAAATTTAATGGCCATCTAATAGTTGAGGAGATATTCCAGACAACCCTGATAAAAAAGTGCTAGGCTAGGTGGATGTGGCTCTGTGCTGTACTTACAGATGTAGAAGATATTGTCCTACTGCCTCTTTTTTTTTTGGAAACATGCTTTTTCCCAGTAAGCTTTCTCTATGACTGCTCCAAAACACTCCTCTCAGTTTACTGGAACAAAATTGTTTCTATTGGCATTGTTATGTTAGTGACCCAAGTTAAAACAGAATCAGAATCTGCTTTATTGGCCAGGTGTGTCGGACACATGAGGAATTTGACTCCGGTATTTTGGCTCTCATTGTGCATGTACATATCCCCATGCAAGGGGCAAGTAAACAGTAAACCAGCATAAGGCTGTGTAATATAACAAAATAAGCAACAAGTAGTGCAAACAATGCAAAATAAGCAGTATAGACAGGCAATGTGTCATGATTCGGTTCCACTGCTTCCTGTCTGGCTTTTATTTTGACACTATTTCCTGTTTTGTTTCACCTTAGTTCTGGTCTTTTCTTTACGTTCATCACTCACATTAGTTTCACCTGCTTCGTTATCATGTGCACCTGTTTTCATCTCTATTTAGGCAGCGTCCTCCCATGAGGACGCTGCCAGATTGTTCTAGACCCCAGCTCTGACTTTCCAGCATTTTCTCGGTTTTGGTATTTGTGTTTCTGACTTGGACTGTTTTTTGGATTACCCTGTATTGCCTTGCCCTCTTATTACGGACTGCTCATGTGTATCGGCTTATCGGACTTTCCCCTCGGACTACGCAATTTGGATTCCCCTGGATGTACGTGTTTGCTGGCTCTGACCTGGGACCGATACCGACCGTGAGTTTTTGTGTTGCACCGTGTGTTGTATGGTTTTTTGGTTTAGTTTTAGTTCTCTTAATAAAGAGACGGTTTTGTTTAACACTTCCTCGTCTGGCCATTTAATGAGTTCACAAAACACTTTTCGGCCGCACTACGCGCGCCGTTTCTGACACATCTTCCTGTCATTA